CCCTCCCTTCAACCGCCGCCGCCGCCGGCCCCGCAGCTGGCACGAGGGCGGCGTCCCCACCGAGAAAAAGGAGGCCCTCCTCGGCCAGCGCGGCGCCGTGGTATGGTTCACCGGCCTCAGCGGCAGCGGCAAGAGCACCGTCGCGTGCACCCTCGAGCACGCGCTGCGCAACCTCGGCCGCGCGACGGCGCTGCTCGACGGCGACAACGTGCGGCACGGGCTGAACAGTAACCTGGGCTTCTCGTCCGAGGATAGGGAGGAGAACATCCGGCGAATCGGGGAGGTGGCCAAGCTCTTTGCAGACGCGGGAATCATCGCCCTCGTGTCGTTCATATCCCCCTATCGGTGAGCCGGACCGTGATTTGATCCCACCTGACGCGATCTGATGTGATCTCATGTGATCTCATGTTATGTTGTGTTATGTGATTTGCCTCAACGGGGCCCTCGGCCTCCTGCGCCCCCAGGGATTCTGGGCACCACGGCCCATGATTGGTCTATGCCGGCCTCCGGCGGCCTGCGGCCGGCGGGCGGCCGGCGCAGGGCCGCGCCGCTCAGCATATGTGATGAGCTCCGCCCCGTGCCCGCGAGACTCAAGCTTCCCCAGCCCCCACGCCTTGCGCGCTGTCCCGTCACGCCCGCCGCCGCCCCGCCCCGCCCCTCCCGCCCGCCCGCAGCCGCGACCGCGACCGAGCGCGCGCCCTGCTGCCGCCGGGGCGGTTTGTGGAGGTGTTCATGCGGGCGCCGCTGGAGGTGTGCGAGCAGCGCGACCCCAAGGGCCTCTACAAGAAGGCGCGCTCCGGCCAACTCAAGGGGTTCACCGGTGCGTCGTGCGCGCCGGGGCGTGCGGGGCGAGGCTGGGGCCCGCCGGGCGGGGCGGTCTGGGGCCCGGGCGATCTGGGGCCGGCGAGGAGGGGAGGGTGAGGGAGCTGGGTCCGAGGGCTAGCGCCCACAGCCCGATGCGCGCGGTCGCGCGCGCGCGCGCGCGCGCCCACACACATACACACACATGCACACACACGCACGCACACACACACACACACACACACACACACACGCACGCACACACACACACACGCACGCACGCACGCACGCACACACACACATATGGACACGCACAGCCTATCATCCCACACAAATCCACTCGCACAGCTCACGTTTTCACACACACAACACGACACTCACACACTCGCACTACGTACACAACATACACACGCGCAATGCACACACACACACACACACGTGCGCGCACACACACGCACGCACGCACGCACACACACACATATGCGCACACACAGCCTATCATCCCACACAAATCCACCTGCACAGCTCACGTTGTTTCACACACAACACGACACTCACACACTCGCACTACATACACAACACAACACACACACACACACACACACACACACACGCAATGCACACACACACACAC